ATCGCCATTAGTTCCATCCGGACCAGCATCGCCATTAGTTCCATCCGGACCAGCATCGCCATTGGGTACAGCTGCATCAGCTTTGCCATTAGGTGGTGATTCTGATTTGGCCGTCGCTCAACAACTCGCCGATCAATCAATCGCCAATGCTGCAGTCGAAACCATTCCAGCCCCAGATCAGCCATGCAAAGTCGAAACCAGCACTGAAGTCATCCACACACCTGGTGAAACATTCGTCCATCAACCGGGAGAGATTCTGATCAACCAACCACCAACCCGTCTCATCATCAACCATGCCCCATACATTGTGCGACCATCTCCAATCGTTCTGAACTCCGGCCACAAGACCATCACAAATGCATACACTCGCAAGACTTTACCAAGTTCAATTCAATTGCGTCCAGTCATCGTTCGCATTGTACGACCAATCGAAAAGAGGGTATTCATTGACAAACCAGCAGTCCCAGGTGCTCAAACGTACGCTTCGAATCCAGTGATCCCAGACGCATGTTCGACCTCTTTGGCTTTGGCTGGAGTTCCAGGAGCCGCCGCATCGGCTGGATTGGCCATTGCAGGTTTACCCGCAGCATCTCCATTGGAATCAACTGCAGGTCTTGCATCGGCTGGTTTGCCCGCACCATCTCCATTTGCAGCTGCAGGTCTTGCATCGCCCGCCACAGCCTCAGCATCATCATTCGGCTCATACGCAACTGACTTGAGTGCATCATCATTCGGCTCAGGCGCAATTGACTCAAGTGCATCATCATATGGCTTAGATGGATCACCATATAGCTATGGTGCAAGCGCTCTAGGTGCCCTTGACTATCCATCACTTCTCGCTTCGGTAAGTATTGTTTATTTATTTCGATTCGATTCAATTTAGTTCGCTCAGCATTTCATATAAAATCATATTTAACATATTTGTTTTCGATTGTTTTGTCAGGGAGCATCTTCACGATTTTCTGCCGCAGGCGGTGAGACCGAATTCGATATTGACAATAGTGGTTCCGTTATGACTGCACTTCCAGCTCCATCGGGCGGTTGTAATTGTGCTTGAGTTGTTTTTTTACAAAAAAAAATAAAAATAAATAAAATGAAAATGTGAAAATAAAACACAGACGTAGTGAAAAAAAAGAACATAAAAAACGAATTTGCTGATTTATATTTGTATTTCTCCATTTCATTTTATGTGCTTACAATTCAAAAGCACCGATGAAATTTATCTCCGAACCAATTTTAATTAAATTAATATTCATACAACGCTTTCCACTTTTCCCGAAATCGATAAATCGTATTCTAAAAAATGCGATTGAGAGAACGAAATATTTATAGCCGCTACACACAAAATGCGATTTAATACGTGTACATGGTACACATTTTACCATTTTCATATGTGCGAGCGTTGACTAACGACTGTGAGAGCACACGAATCTCGTTCTCTTTTTCGCTCTTTCTTTTTCTCTGCTTCTATTCATCTCTTTCGCTCTTCCATTGGAAATGATGAGAGCAAACGTGCAAGAGTGAGCAAAAGAGGCGCCGAGAATTGAGAGCTCGGACGGAAACGGCGACGGCATCAGCATTATTTTTTCGGTTCGAAAAATTTGCGCATGGAATCACACCGAAAAGGATTCAAACAGCGTAAAAATACACGGGGCAAGCTCGCAGGAAAAACATAAAAGCAGCAAACGGTCGTTAAATAGATGAAAATAACGTTGTTGTTTGTCGCCGCCACCACCATCACCGTTGTCGTCGTCGTCTGTTGCTGCTTCTACTATTGATGCTGTTGTTTTGTGAGTGGGGTCGATATAGTGTGCGCTTTGTTGAATTTCGGGAGAAAGAAACGAATGGCGTAAATGTGATTGAAAAGGTAGCACCCAGCAAAAGCTGTTCAAAGTCATAAAATGTTCGCATTATATTTGTGTGTATGCGCGCGCTATGGTTGAAACTTATTTTAGTCCAAAAGGAAAAGCACATGAAAATTCGAAATGAACCAATGTTGGGCCAGCAGCGCAGTTTCTCGTGTGCCAACCAAGCATCCAGTCGACTAACCAAGCAGGCAACCAGCTAAACAGCCAACCAGCCAGCCAGCCAGCCAGCCATCCGACCGACAGCAACATTGTAAAGACGATGGAGAGCGATAGCATTTGCAGCGAGACGACGAGCTCACAGATTTCCAAGCATTTTTACACTTTAATTTGGGAAAGACATTACACACTCATTCACTCTCTCTCAAAGACACACACACACATAAACCAAAAAAGCACACACCTAGAGAGTGCGGTGGCAAATTTTTAGGTTGATGTCATTTTAATCTCGTAATGGAGCCGAAAAACTTTCGAGCGTGACAGATAGATAGAGAATGAATTGGTCCCACCGAATTGCCGTCGTTCTCTCTTTGCATTTATTTTTTTTTTAATGTGTCTGTATTTCTCTGGGCTAAGTGAGCGGCAGTCACGATGGTAGATTAAAAAAAAAATATATACAGTCCACTTTTATTACTTGAGAAACCAATTTCATTCTGATCTTTTAACCGTTCAGTGTTTTGCGTTCGTTGTTCGCCCGTTTAGGGACACTTTGGTTTCTTTTGAATAAGCTCAGGTGCTCTATTAGCAAAATTGTGCATAATACAATATTAATGAGGTAGGTAATATTTCAGAGATTGAGCGAAGGAAAGAACGAGAATGAGCACGAGAATTACGATGACGACGACGACGACGAAAGACTGACTGCCATACCATTGCATATACCATTGATTTGCGTATGAATAATTCACTTCCGTTTTTGTGCGCTACTATAGAGCGAATGAACTACGTAAAGAATTTTTTTAAAAGCATCCAAAAAAATATATATGACCTTTTGTTGGTATATTTCATGTTTCATGCCAAGCAACTGTTTCCAAATGAACACCGAATGTAAAACGATATGATAGCATGGCATGAACGTCAAGTTGAGAGAGAGAAAAACGAAGAATAAAAGGAATATCTTGGATAAATTATATCTGTCTCTGATATTGAATACGTGTATGCAGAAAACAGTGTTACATCAAATTGTTCCAGAGAAATCAGTGCGTTACAGTTAAAAGAATAGGCAACGAATGAAAGAGAAAGCGAGACGACAATTTGGATATTTTTATCCTCAATATAAGTCAATGCCTGCCTGTCGAAAATGATGTAAATGTATATAGACTGATGTTTCTTTTTTCATTTTTTCTCTTTAGCTTTTTCTCCTTTTCATGCTTTTCATCTTGGGATATGGTTGATGCTGCAATTTAAATTATGTATGTTGACGCATGATTGAGCTGTTTCGAGTGCTAAATTGCCGAAAATTCATCGGCATCCAATGGATGAGGAAAAAAGGAGAGCACAACTGAATAAAATGAGTGAAAAAAATGAAAGAACAGATAGCACGAAAAAAAACACACATAGAAAACGCCGCAAACCGAAACAAAAGGTTATTCCATTTATCACTATGATGGATGTTAGGGAAGCTTAAGTAAAACAAATCTCAAATAATCTAATAAGTGTGACATACACAGAGTGAGGGGCCGAATGAGAGAAAAAGCAACAGCAATGGCCAGAAGAATAAAAGCAAATAGTGTAATCGTCTCAATTATAATATAAAAGTGATTTTGCATGACGACCATTTATTTTATGTTTTTGACGCGAAATTTCTCTCCAAGTGGCTTTTACACAAATGGAAAATCTCAACTGGCTAAAAGGTCAAAGGACAATCGAAATCCATGTTCATTTTTTTATCATTGCCTACACACACACACACACACTTGATTTCATACCCTTCATGTCTCTTTCTCTCTCTCTCGAAAGAGACTTCATATAGCGAATAAAACAGAGCGGAAAAAATACGAGCAATCACAAAATGGTAAATATTTTGTTCTGAATTAGCGCACAAAGTTTGTTTTTTGCTTTTCCATTTGCTATCAGCGCTAGGTAGCTCTTTCTCTATGTATGTGTGAGAGAGAGAGAGTTCGCTTTCCGATTTTTTCGCCTGTCTGCTTGATATGACATACATTTAAATCATCCATCAAACTCCTACACTTGCTGATGGTTCTCTGTTGTTGTCGTAGTCGTTGCCGTTGTAGTCAGATGAATTGATTCGCCTGTGCTGTTGTAGATGTGGCAAACACATTTTGAGCACGCTTGTAACGATTTAATGATTCACTTCACCGTGTGTGTCTCGCGAACAGCGCGCGCGAGACCGAGGGATTCCACTGAAACGTTTTTTTTTTCTCTTTTTCTTTCACTTACGGTGTAATTCGGTTTTTTTCTTTTCTTTTCTATGTGCGACACACAATCAATATACCAATTTTGCTGTTCGTTGAATAACAGTTATATATGTCTCGGTTTATTATCATGTTATTTGACACAAAAATTCTGGTTTATTTTCTCTCACTGCTCCACGTTTTTTTCTTTTCTCTTGTGTGCTGTTCACCCTCTGTGTTCGCTCACGAATTTCAGTAATACATGATGCGATACGGTTTTGCTTTTTCGGTTTCGATGAATAGAGCTAAATTAGATTTGTTTTGATCAGTAACACATCAGCAGCAGTAGCAACGTTTGTGGTAACAACTACATTAGGTGTAGCAACCACACAGGTGAAACGACCCGATAAAACAATGGATCATACTGCTGGTGATAAGTAATTTCGAACGTGTCTGAGATTAAACACACGACGAGAGATAGAGAGAGAGAAAAAAAAACAACCGCAGCAGTAGCAGCCGAAGACGGAAAATAAAACAAACACAAACACTAATGTTAACACACGCACAGCGAATATCAATACGTTTAAACAATTTCCAATGCGATATCGGCAATTGAAACACAATTTATTGCTTTCATTTTTTCCCTTTATTCGTTGGTTCTCTCAATGCTCTCTCACACGCTGGCTCGTTGTTTTATTTGCTCATTTTCACAATAGTCTCACATGTATCGGATGTCGCAATATTCTATTTTTACTTCAATTTTTCTTTTATCCGACACACGGCCAGTCGTTGACAATGTACACACTCATTCGATCTGCAATCGAATTTTGCTGAAAATTTTGCACAAAACGCTCCACATTTTCTATTAATTATCTAGGGATATTGAGTCTAAAGTATGTATATGATTTGTTGAAGTGACACGATTGCGAAATGAGCTCCGTACGCAACGCTGGAACTCCATGACTAAAGATGATGTCCTGCAATACACGATGGATAAGGTTCGGAAAAATATAGAACGAATACCAATACATCAACATCACCATCACTATCATCATCATCCTATCCTATCCTATCCCATCCCAATACACACATGCATAGGAGTGAGAGTGAACACGAGCGAACGGCGAAAAAGAGGCGCGCACCGAATCCATATTTGATGTTTTCACATTGTTCGTACACACAGTGTAGCGAATGAGTGAGTGAGTGCAGGAGTGGAAACTCAATTTCACTGTACGGCTACGGCTGCTGCTGCTATCGCCGTGCTCTCTGCCGTTGTATTTGTTACGGATGGATGAAAGTGTTTTTTGTTGGGGTGTGTATTGGTGCTAGTATCAAATCACACGCATACACACAGCTGGCGCTGAACGTGCAAATGTGTTTGTGCGCGGATTAGAAAACGTGCAAGTATTTGTAGCTCAGTTCAGTGTATGTGTGTATGTGTGTTCGTTTCAGCTTTTCCACCCTAAAATCTACCGTACGATTGTCGATTGAATTTTTATGCCGCATTCATGCTACATGGCTTTTTTGCAAAAGCCCACGTGTTAGCTACATCCGTCCACTGTGTACACTATGTACGCACTCTGAGACTATGCCTGAGATTTGCATGCTTTCAACATATACTATGGAATACGTCCACAATTTGTTGTTCGCTTGTGTGTTGTGCTTGTCGTTTCTATTCAGTTCGCTTTCGCATTGTGACTAAATTTCGAGCCGTGTATGTGTCTAAATTCAGGGGTGGCATCAAACAATCTGCTAGAAAAGCTTCTGTAAAGCATAGACCACGTACGTTCGATTCACAAAATGCTTTTTATGCGAAAAGCTACCATAACACGATACGTTATTCCGAATAACGGTTCAATTCAACTTCTATAAATACAAAGAACACCTACGATTTCATTTAATTTTCGGTTTTGCACATGTACACTAGGGTAGCGCAAATGCCAAAAGTTTTAAAATTTGCAGTTCCTAACCCCTGATCCAAAAATTTGGGCCGAGAAAATAAATTTAAGCCATTTTCCGATATGCTTCTGCTGATAAAATCCACTCGCCCGGGAGGTATATAATTTGTAGGGGAGAAAAATCAATAAATTGAAGAATATTCGAAAATTTTGGTACAATATCGCGATTATACTGGGCAACAGATGGTTGAATCTCACTGCTGGCGTCGAGTACTACAATTTTGATCGATATTACAGTGCTCCAAAGTGCAATACTGAGCTGTTTCAGGTGAATATATGGCCAAAATCGACCGAAATTCCACATTTTTGCTACAAATAACGTCATAAAACCTCAAACTACTACTTTTAACACAGTTTTTGAGCCTATATCGACTCAATTTTTTCCGTAGAATTCAAATATGACTATTGGCGGCCAGTCCGAATCCATTTTGGTGCCAATATTTTCGTCGGTTTACACTTTTGATAGATTTGCGCTCTCACATTGATGAAGTAGCGCTCTCACATCGGATTTTCAACAAAAACATCAATGGCCAAAACATCAAATCGACGGAGAATGATCAGAATTTTTGATTTAGACCTTCACACCGCGTTCATCTACCGATTGTACTGATTTGACATTTAGGGCATACATTTGATCGAATTTCCAACACGTTTTTTGAATTGGTTCCTATAATTGAGTCCAAGCCAAGAAAAACTGCATCATTAGTTTTCATATATTGGATCATTTTTGCGATTTAGAGGGATATGTATTTCCAGAGTAGAGCAAAATCGTTATAATTCAATATATCACAATAGTTTTACGCATATGGTTACTTCTAAAAAAGTGTTCAGCGTGCAATTTTAGGTGGGAGTGGTCTTGATGGAATCAGTATTTGACCGCAACCAGGCACTGCTAGGCCACTGTGAATGAAAATCCAAATACACCAATTTTTGACTTTTTTCCACACGCAATCAAACAGATCCAAATCATAATGTAAGCATAGAAAAAGTAGGTACCAATAAGCTAAGTTTGTACTAAAACTGTGCTAAAAAGGTTCTAAAATAGTTCTAAGAGTGTATTCCGTTTTAACAAATTTAACTATACATACGTGTGAAAATAAAGTCTTTGTGTATACGTTCGTGTAAATGCAAAGAGTCTATGTGCGCATTGTATTTTGATTCGTGTCGCCATATCAAAACGTCGCATCCAACGTCGCATCATGTTAGGCGGCGCTATTGATATACTTTGCTTCAATCGTCAACAAAATACATAGAGTATTTCTCTGTTTTGGTAATGAGTGAATCTCTGTTCATCTCGTTCGGACATTCACAACACACAGAAAAGAATCCCCGGAAATTTTGGGTGTTCGCCGTAAAATTTGACATTTATATATAAATTTCTATATACATTTTACCGGCAACACTTCAATTTTCCGGGCGATGACATATTTTCGAATATTTTATCAAATACTATATATATTTTACCGCTTGAAATGACAGATGGCGCTAATTTCTGTTGGAATATTTGAAATTATGTCATCGCCCGGAAAATTCAAGTGTTGCTGGTAAAATGTACATAGAAATTTATATATAAATGTCAAATTTTACGGCGAACACCTAAAATTCTCGGGGATTCTTTTCTGTGTGAACCTATACACATATTTTAGCTGGAATGCAAATTCGAACAGCCGTTATTACAGCAAACAAAAATATGAAAATTTTAATTTTAGTTAATAAAACTAAACCAAATTAATTTCGTGGATAAAATCTTCCAAAACAATGCCATAAACAAATATTTTTTTAAACTAAAAACAACTTTATATTTCTGTTGAATGCAAAATATACTATTGGGACTTCGGATACTTTATCCGAAGTCTCATGAAACTTCAATTACATTGACACTAACTGCTATAAGACTATTCGTCAGACAGGATTCTTTCCCATGAAGTCTATTTTCATTACGAGTGCCTCATTTATTTCATTTCAAAATGTAAAATTTGATTTGATAAAACGCCCATTTTGTTACCTGCTACATAAAGCAATGTATCTCATTTTTCTACAGCGGAGACGCATGACAAAAACACTAAATGTATAACTAACATATGACGGCCAGAGAAGAAAAACATATCCTACAAAACCTGAGCGCAGAACACAAACGCAGGAATTTTTTAGGCAAAAGGTGAATAGCAAATTTCCGAGCGCAAAAACCTAACATATTCACAATGAGCACAAAAGCATAACAGGCCTACTTATACGGAGTTTGCTTGCTAGTAGGCTTGTTATGCTTTTGCACTCGCTGTGAATATATTGGGTTTTTGCGCTCGGAAATTTGCTGTTCACCTTTTGGCTAAAAAATTTCTGCGTTTGTGTTCTGCGCATAGGTTTTGTAGGATATGTTTTTCTTCTCAGGCCGTCATATGAACAGTTTGCTTTTTCTTTCAACATCGATGGTGTAGTTAATGCATTCGAGTGACTGAGTGACTCAACGTTTTGTGTTGTGTTGTGTTTTGTTCTGCGTACGGCGTACGCATGAAGGAGTCGAAACGATGCATTTTCCACCTTATCAAGATCTTTCTCGAACAATAAGTCATAAAAATTAACAAAATAGTTTTCGATATAATTATAAATGTTGAACACATAGAATATGCCAATACTTTAGAGTTATGTATTTTCATTTCGCTGGTATTTTCTAAAGCATTGTACTTGGTCGCTTATTTTAAATATGCCACTTTTACAATACACATAAATTTCAAGTACATTTATCAAAAAATCTAAAATGGATATTTTCGGCGGTGGTCAGTGTCCGAAATGTATTCTTCGAATAGATCACATGAAAATACTTATTGCTTTGTTTGTAATGTTTATGACTTCATAAGAAATCGACAAAAATCCATATGGAGAACAAATAAAACAATAGACTATTATTACTTAGAGATGCCTGTAATCATCAAGAATGGTATACATCTATGGGTGAGATTGAGAGTAGAGTAAGTTTTTTGATGACACTGTTGGCGTTAAAGTAGAGTAAGTTTACATGCCTTGAGGTTTTTTGCGCTTTTCGTGAAACTGATAAGATGTAAGAGATAACTCTCAATCTCACCTATTATATTATATAATGAGTTAAGAGGGGAATATTCTTCCAAGAAGCAGGATTGAAATGAGTGATAATGAAATTGTCCATGCATTTACTGTTCGAATTCAAAAGACATCAAGGCATACACTATCGTGTGCGATGCCCATTTACACGAGCTCTAAAGTGGTTACTTGCAAAGATTTGAGGACAAATATATAGTATTTCCAAGAAAGAAAAACCCTTTTAAATGCTCATCGGCTGAACGATTTTTTTATTTATTGAAATGTTAAAAGTATGTTAAAGGTGTATAGAATATTTTATAGATCTGTAAAAGTTTTAATGTGATACGTTATTCTGGTGACTTTTCAAAGTCGCAGTAATTGTACTATTTACTGTTTTAGCAAGGTCATAGTTTAATAAATTTCTATTCGGAAGATCATCAAAGCATTTCACAACCAATTTATCTGCAATACCAACTAATTCATTGCAGCGGTAGTAATTTAAGTTGTAACTACTGCCCGCATAAATCATTATACCAGCTAAATTACGATTAATTACAAATCGAATTTGTTCTTCTATCGATGACTCCGATTGAAACTCACCGGCACAATTTTTTACTTTATTCACCGCGTAAATAGCTTCAGTCATTTTTAAATATGTCATGAATAGATCAGCGTTTTTAAATGCACAATCTCTCAAACGCATGCATTTTGAGGTTACTTCTAAAAATTGGAATTCGACACCGCTTAGTTTCGAAATACCCATTACAATTTTTTCTGATGGAATGCCCAGCTTCATTAAACGATTGACCGTGGATTTGAAGTTTCGAGTTCGACGTACTTGTTTCACATCAACATATTTTTTACAGGATTGCTTATTCTCAAACTGTAAGAAAACGACATAATTCGAGAGAACTGCGTAATCAAATGTATTCAAT